GGTGGTGTTCGGATGCACCTTGTGGCTGGAAGCCTGTGAGGTGGGCCAGCCAGTCAGGAGGACTACCTTCTGCGCACATACCCACAAGGGAGCTGAGGTCACCTCACTTTTAACCCTAGTTATTTTTATTTTTTTAAAGATTCACCCTGAGCTAACATCTGTTACGAATCTTCCTCCTTTTTATTTTTCCTCCCCAAAGCCCCAGTACATAGTTGTATATTCTAGTTATAAGTCCTTCTAGTTCTTCCACGTGAGCCGCCACCACAGCATGGCTACTGACAGACAACTGGTGTGATTCTGCGCCAGGGAACCAAACCCTGGCCACCGAAATGGAGCACCTCGAACTTTAACCACTAAGCCATCAGGGCTGGCTCCAACACTAGTTATTTTTGAGGTGAGAAGACCTGTTATTTATGAGATAGACTTTATCAGTAAGGTCCATTGTCAGTGCCCACATTCATTTATGACACAGGAAGTCATTTGTTGAAACCAATTTTGTGTGGGGGACAGGAATTGGCCACCCCAAGATATGTCTCTTTGGCATGAGGATTATTTGGGGCTGGTTACTTTTAATAAACTGCAGACAGGAAAGCAACTGAAAAGCAGAATTTACTTACCCTTTGTTAAAAGACATTTACATTGTAAAGGAAATCTCTGTCTGTAAAGGTGTCTCCTTCTCTCTACCAGAAAGAAGGGGGGATGACGTTATCTCTAGAAACTCTTAGCACAGCAGAAGGCAAGAACTTAAATCTGCATAATAATCTTATTCCTGTTTACTGTGCTTGTCTGGTAACCTCCTGTAACTGACTCCCCCCACCGCCAACATCCTCCTTTGTCTTTAGCTGAGGAGGATATTTAAGGTGGTGGCTTCAGCCATTTTGGCGAGTTGCTCAGCTTGCCTGAGCCTCTCCCATTTATACATGTTATAAAGCTTTGTTTAATTTTCTCCTGTTATTCTGTCTCATGTGAATTTAATTCATTCTCCAGCTAGAAGAGCCCACTGTGGGTAGAGGAAATGTCTTCCTCCCCTACATTTGCAAAGATGCAAAAGCTGTGGATGAGCATGTCTTCTATCTGAATCAGATCTTAGTTGATTATAATTCCATGATGCTTTGCCATTCTGTATCTTCTATTGACCTTGGGGGTGCATGCCAACATGGGAAATGAATGCAGAAGATCTGAGAACATAGAGTCTTTTCTCTCTTTAGACCCTTTCCCTTGAAAAGCTTGTGAATTCAGATTTTCTTTTCTCATATGAAAAAAGAACAGCTTAAAAATCACCACCAATCCTCCAAATCTATAAAATCAAGCCTTAGTAGGGTATTTAAATTGTGCTGGAACATGAGTCTAAGAGCCCTGCCCACTTCATCTCCCACCACTGACATTTTATCAGACTCCCAGTTCTCCTTGAACTATCAGAGCATTTCCAGACCTCCATTGTCTCTGCCCTTCCCTTCGCCTGGGGCACCTCTCATCCTACTCCGCTTGTGGAGATCCTGCTTATTCCTCAGGGCCTGTCTCAAATCTCACTTCCCTCAGGAGGCCTGATCCTTCTGGAGTAAGTTAACCAGTCCCACTCTGTGCGCTTGTGGTCCCTTTGAATCACCATGGCATCTTTTGTGCACACAGTCTGGTGGGTCAGCAGGCTCTGCATGTGCCTGCTTTTCTCCTTCACCATCTTAAACTTCCTGTGAGTGTCATCCATGTGTCTCAGTGTCTCTCCTCTAATACCCAGCCCAACATCACCCAATTAGTAAAGCTCAACAATTGTCGGTGGAATTTGTGGTCAAACCATGTGAGCTTATAAAAACAAACACAAATGTCAGGCCTAATCCTACCCCATTCAATGTAAGAGACACCCCTGATTCACTTTTAACAGAAGAAAATTAGTCATCTAAAACTAGAAAAAAAAAGAGTTAATGAAGAGAAAGACAAAAAATATTCAGCCTTTCTGGAATTCAAAGACTTGTTTGTGAAAATAAGGAAATGCCAAATTTCGCAAATCAAATAACAAATTTAGAAAAAATTACAATGGTCGTTGTTGCCAGAGTGACAGCAAGATATATACTCTCAGGGCTGCTGGCAAAGCAACAAGTACAACCTTTTTCAAAGTAATGCTATAAAATGTCTCAAGAGCCTCAAAAATTTTCTTTCACTTTGATCCAGTAACTCCAACAAGAATGTATTACAAGGAAACAAGCCATGATGCAAATAAGTTATGTTTACAATGATGTTCATTGCAGCCAGCATGATTGATAACGTGGAAAAGTTGATAATAACCTAAATATCCAACAGCATGGAAATGGCTCAATAAATAATAGTGGATTTGTATAACAGTATGCTGTGTATTAAGATGATCCTTAAAAATATTTATCATCATGGGAAAAGGCATATAATATAATGTTAACTGGAAAAATCAGACAAAACTGAGTATACATTAAGATTTCAATTGAGATGTTACATATATATGTATGTACACATATACATACCTGTACTATCTAATATGATAGCCACTAGCCACATGTGGCTAATGAGCACTTGAAACATGGCTAGTCCAAAGTGAGATATGCTGTAAGTGTAAAATACATATTGGATTTTAAAGACTTAGTATGAAAAAATAATGTAAACTACCTCATTAACAATTTTTATATTGATTACATATTGAATGATAATATTTTAGACACATTGAGTTAAATAAACTATATTATTAATCTCACCTGTTTCTTTTTACATTTTTTAGTGTGGCCACTAGAAAAGTTTAAATTACATGTGTAGCTCACGTTTTGTTTCTACTGGACAGGACTGTGTTCGACAATTGCCTTAAAAAAAAGATGAAGAGAATTGCTAGATGACGTTATCCCTGGGTTTTAGAATTCCAGTGATTTTAGCTTTGTTCTTTAAGCTCTTCCGTACTCTTTCTGTTTTCTCAGTGAGCATATATTTCTAGTGTTTCCCTTCTTTGTGGGAGCCTTCTCCAACCTCCCCAGGCTGGTCTTAGACGCGTACATGACTTTCTGCACTTTATCTTTATAACACTTATTAAAGTTTGAAATTATATGCTGTCTGATCATTTAATTTATGTCAGCCTGCTCAGCAGACCATAAGGTCCTGGAGTCTGGGACTCCAGTGCTTAACTCAATGCATAGTATGCAGCGAGTATTTAATAAATAATTGTTGGATAAATGAATGAATGATTAAATTTAAAAAGTTAGCATTCAAAAATGCAAAAGTCCAAGTCACTACAACTATAAAGCCAAAGTAAGTCATTATATAAGAGAAGTATTGGGCCAGCCTGGTGGCTGTGTGGTTGGGTTCCTGCGCTCTGCTTCGGCAGTCCGGATATCGCCAGTTCGGATCCTTGGCGTAGACTTGGCACCACTCATCAGGTCATGCTGAGGCAGCATCCCACATGTCACAACTAGAAGGACCCACAACTAATAATATACAGCGGCGTACGGGGGGGGGGGGGGGGCTATAGGGAGAAAAAGGAAAAATAAAATCTTAAAAAAAAAAAGTATTTGCAAACTTCGGTAAAGGGATGGATAGAACAGATTTTGGAGTTGCTGCGGCCGCGAGATCTGGTGCAGGGAGCGCAACTGGTCAGGAGCCACAGCTGCTGTGCTCTGAACCCATCGACTGTTCTGAGGCTGCGTTTCCAGGCGCTGCTCCCAGCCAATGACTAAGCGAGGCGGGGAGGCTGAGGCAGGCCCATTCCTGTGGGAGATGGGATCTTCTGACTGGCGGTTTTAGCTCAAGGACTCGCACTGACCTTGTCAGAACTTGCCTCTCCTCTTCGAGGAGGGGGTCAGACCTTCATCTGAGGGCTCTCCCTGCTGCCTTCTGGCTCCCTCCTGATTTTCCCCAATAAATAACTTGAATTTCTAGTCTCCTCGGGGTTTGCTTTTCAGAGGACCCAAATAGCACATTTGCTTCCAAAAGTTAAAAATATACATTATTGACTTTTTTGAATGGGCAATATATACACACTGTACAAAATTCAAACAGCACAAAATTTAAAAGGAGGGCGTATTATAAAAGGAAATGCTTTCACATCTCCTTCCTCCAGCCGCCTAATTACCTTCTTTAGAATTTATCCCCATTCCTCTCCCGGAAGTCAGTCTCTGTTCTACTCCTCCATACTCTACATACTGTTCTTACATTGCTTTTGGGGTCATTTAAGAGTGTATCCTGACTACTATTCCATGGCTATATACATTAGACCTCATTCTTTTTATAGCTCCATAGTATTCCATTGGATTTGCCTGTTTCCACACCGGTTAAGTATTTCTAGTCTTTTGCCACGACTACTTGTGGACTAATTGTAGATTGTCTTTTCATTTACGTACAAGTATATCCGTACATAAATTCCTATAGGGCAATTTCTGGAAGTGGGCTTACTGGCTCAAAGGGTAAGGATATGCTAACTTTTACTGCTCATTGCTCTTCATAGAGGTTAGACCAATGTATACTCCCACCAGCGTGACCTCACACCCTTCCAGCACAATGTGCCATCGACTTTTCGTCTTTGCCAGTCTGACAAGTTAAAAACGTAGTTTTGCATTTCTCTTATTCTAAGTGAAGGCAAGAATCTTTTCATACTTTTAAGAACCATTTTATCCCTTTTCTGTGAGCTGTCTGTTCACTTTCTTTGCTTGTTATTCTATTGGGTGTTTTTGCTCTTTTAAAATTGACTTGTAAGAGTTCTTTATACTTTAGAAAATTTACACTTTGGTTGAAATACCAATGTGCTAGATTTTTCCCAGTTAGAATTTGACTTGTCTTTACTTTTTTTATGGTGTGTTGTTTTGTTTTGCTGTGAAGAATTTTTTTAATTTTAAAATTAGTTAAATGTATCATTCTTTTTCTTCTATGTCTTCTATATTTTGAGTTATACTTAGAAAGACCGTCTTTATTCTGAGGTTATTTTTTAATAATTCTAAAAAATATTTCTGAAAATTATTTTAAAGCTATTTTTAAAAATTAAAAAAAAATCTCCCAGGTTTTCTTCTTCCTTCCTTTCTTCCTTCCTTCTTTCCTTTCCTTTTAACATCTTACTCTTTCATTCCTCTATAATTAATGTTGGTGTAAGGCATGAATTAGGAATTTGTGGAAGAGTCTAACTAGCTGTTAATAAAATCCATTTCCCCTTTGTCTTGGGCACACAGCTAAACTACGTTTTCCCTCTTCCCTTGCAGGTAGGTGTGGACATATAACTGAGTTCTGGCCAATGGAATGTGAAGGAAAGTAATGTGACCCTCCCTTCCTCTCTCTTTCCCTATCTGCCATGTCTATTCACCATGGAGAATATTCGGGTGATCTAGAGCAATGCCGTCCAAAAGAAATAAATGTGAGCCATAAAAGCAAGACGTGTCATTCTACATTTCCTAGTAGTCATGTTAAGAAAAATTAAAAAGTAGGTGAAATTAATTGTAATAATATATTTTATTTAACCCAATATATCTAAAATATTATCATTTCGACAAGTAATCACCATGAAATGTATTAATGAAATATTTTACATTTTTTTCTTCATACTATGTCTTTGAAATCTGATGCATATTTTATACTAATGGCACATCTCACTTTGCACTGGCCACATTCCAAGGGCTCAATAGCCATATGGAGCTAGTGGCCAACATATTGGACAGCACAATGCTAGGGAATATCCGGATGAACAGAGCTTGTGTCCCTGAATGACCACATGGAAGATTGTACAACCAGCAACAGACAAGTGTACTTAACGTACACAAGAATAAACCTTAATTGTGTTAGGTCACTGAGAACTTTGGGTTTATTTGTTATAGCAGTGAGCATGACTTGACATAGCTAATATAGGATGCTACTCTACTGTTTCCAGATGGCTGCCAATTTGTTCCAATACCACTTACAGAATAATTGATTTTTATACAATAATTTTTTATACATAATAATTTGAAAATCGCCTTTCTCATGTTCTATATCCATAGATTTTTGGGTTTATTCCTGGACTTTCAACCCAGAACTTTTTATTGCTCTATTATTTATTGATTCACCAGTATCACACTGTTTTAACTATTACAGCTTTCTCATCCCCTGAGGAAGGCAGAACTCCAAAATTGAAAAAGTGAGATATACTGGTTGTTGACTAATAACAAATATAAGATTGTTCCAATTCTCAAAATATCTACAAAACAGAGGGACAGAGATTTTGAATGAAGTTATACAAGATAAAAGGCCAAAGTCATCACAAGAGTATAACTTGCCTCCTCATCAACTTTCAGAGTCTCCCTGGCTTCACTCACATTAGCCTTTTCCTCAAACCTGCCGTGGCTTCTTTCTTCCTTGACATAGGATTGTGTATCATTGGCTAAAATTTACTATAGAAGAAAACGGTCTTTTCTCTCTCCCTGGTCCCATGAGTGCTGCCTATGCCGCACCCACACCAACCTCCCATCCATTATTATCACTTTGTTTCCTCCACTCGATACTTCATTTAATGGGCATTTATCAAGAACTCACCATGGGTCATTTTCTGCAGTAGACACCAAAATGACAGGTAGACTAAAGTACTGGAGATCTGGAGGCAGCCAGTGCCGGGGTTCCAGGTGCTGGCAGCAGACACCCCCAGAGGATAGACAGGGAAGAATCAACGAGGCATGGGGGGAGATGGGGCAGGTGGCATCAATAGGCCAAGAAAAAGGATGGAAACAGTGGCTATGAAGGAAAGTGAAGGCTGCAGCTGGTGCAGAGGGCTGGTTGTGATTCTGACAGTGGCAGAAATTTTATGTGATCCACTCCTCTCCTGTCTTTAGGGCTCTTAGAGCCATACAGGGGAAGGAGGGACTTTGCCATTTGGTTGATGGGGGCTATTGATTCTAGGGACATCAAAACACACTATTAATGTGATCCACTTTAATGAAGATCCTCAAGCTGGTGGGGTGTTACAGTAATATCTATTTGAGACAAAGATTTATGTTTTTTGTATATTAAGTTAAATAATCAAAGAGTAGATATATAACAATGAAAAAAAATACACAAGACAAGCATGGGGCAATTTGTTTCTGCTTTCCCTCATGCCATTTACAAGATCTGTGACCCATGTCCTTAGACTTTGTTAATTACATCCACTGAGATTCAGTTATTGCCCCCTGAAGAAGGGCTCCTCCTGTGTCTTTGACTTCTCTATGTTGGTCTTCTTCTTTGGTTTCTCTTTCTCCCTCATACCTTACCTGCTGGTATTCGTTATAGCTCTTGTGAGGCTCACCTCTCTTCATATTCTGCTCATTCATTGTTGGCTGTGGCTTCAACTATTACCAATCAACTGCTAACTTTGATCAGATTTCTTCAAAAACAGAGCCTGAGGCAGGGATTAAGTGCCAATACTCTATTTGGGAATCGAGGGAGGGAAGAATGTGAAACAAATACATTACCACACTAGTCAACTGCTTCACAATGAATTGTGACAAGACACACAGGTTATTAGTGAGTATGTCTACTTGACCACATGGATGTTTCCAAACAGGTTATATGGACACACTATGCCTTGTATCAGTTCATAAGACAGAGGAATTTCCTCCGGTCTCCTATCATCCCTTGGTCAACATTTACTCCTTGGGGAGTTACCTCCCTTGCATTTTCAGATTGCATCACTTGGCATCTTTGGTGGCCATTTGGAATGCCAGGACCCATGAGCTTTCGTGAGCCATTTCTCCCAAGTCTGGAAGTGATTGGAGGAGCCACAATCTACAGTATGTTGCCTTTTGGCATGATTGTATGGTGGCAGCTGAGGAGGAGGGCCTGGCACAATTGCACAAGTGCAAGCAGATTCAGTCAACTGGCAATGACCCCATTTGGAGAAGAACAAGTGGTTGAGGGTCCAACAGGCAGTGGTGCCAAGAGAATCTGAGGAGGTGCCTGTCCCAGGCACCTGGTAACTCCCAAATCTATAACTCTGCTTTGATTTCTTTCTTTATCCCTGGACCGACATCTCCAGTTAGAGGTCCCAGTCACAGTTCAAAATCAATGTGTCCAAAACCTAATCCATTACTTTACCTCCTCCACCGAAACACGCTTCACTACCTACCATGTCCCTAAATTCAGTGAAAGGTGTCACCATTCACTCATAACCACGTCACAAACACCAAGTTATTCTGACTTCTCCTTCTCCCTTGCTCCTTTTGTCTAGCCAGTCATCAGATATTCCGTATTTTATCTCCTTAATAGCTCTCAAAGTAATCCAATTGTTCCCATCCCCTTTGCCATCATACAGGTATAGCATTTAAAATGACAACTGGCTCCTAGTAAGTACTGTCATCTCTCAACTGTATTACTGAACTAGGTTTCTAACTGCCGTCCCTATGGGCTTGCTCTCTCTGAACCACTCTCCATGCTCCAGAATAATCTTTCTAAAAGACAAATCTTATCATATCGTCCTCTTTGATTATAAGCCTTTGGTCGTTCCCTACTGAAGTTTAAGATAGAGTCCAACTTCCTTTTTTTTTCTTCCCAAAGCTCCAGTGTGGGTGTATATCCCAGTTATAAGTCCTTCTAGTTCTTCTATGTGAGCTGCAGCTGCAGCCTGGCAACTGACAGACAGGTGGTGTGGCTCCACGACTGGGAAGCAAACCCAGAACACTGAAGTGGGGAGAGCACCGAACCTTAACTGATAGGCCATCAGGGCCGGCTCAAGTCCAGCTGCTTTTATGGGGTTTACGATAGTCTTTATAAGTTGACCTTTGGCTATTGCTTCAGCTTCAGCTTTCCCCAATTCCCATCGAATGCTTTAGCCAAACTAAACTTTTGTAATTCTCTGCTAGTATCCTGTCCTCTTTCATCTCTTTTTGTGCCTCTCCCCTGCTTGGAGAACCTTCCCTCTGGCACTACCACTCCCCCGGGTTACACCCATTCATCCTGCACGGCTCAGCTTAGACAGGACTCTTGGGGAAGCCTTTCCTGAATACCTGCTCATCTGCCTTATACTCAGTTATAAATGTGTTCATCAGCTGCAAGCAACAGAAACCTGGCTGACTGCAATTTAAACAAGTTGGGGGTTATTTTTCTTATCCAAGAGGTGAGAAGGTAGGCAGTTGCTGGTGTTGGTTTAGCCTCTCAGTGATGACATCAGAGACCCAGAATCCTTCCATCTTTCATTCTGTCGTCCCTGAAGGTTAGTATTCTTCTTTAATTGTGTGGCCTCATAGTGTCAAGATGGCTTCTGACATCACATCTATGTTCAAGGCAGGAATAAAAGAGGGGAAAGCAAAAACTATACCAAAAACTCCACAGTGGACTTCTTTTTATATCTCACTGGGCACAGCTATGTCAGTTGGCCACCCCAACTGCAAGGGACATAGAAAAAGTGAATATTGAGAATTTCTTAGCCTCTGTAGTAGAAGAGAGCAAATGAGAAGGAGTTTAGCAATGACTGGTGTGATCTATCACAGTCTATCACATACCAGAGTGGGTTAGACACCCCAAATCTGTGCTCCTATGGGACCCTTATCATCACCCTCCTCATACCAATCATAATTATCCATTTAGTAGCTTGTCTCCCTGCTAGACGATAAGTTCTTTAAGGCATAAACTGCAACTTAGTCATTTTAGTATCCCTAGCACCCATCATAGTAGCAGAGCACATTGCAGATGCTCACTAAACTATTGTCCCAAATTGAACTGAAACATGCTCTTCCAACAGAAGGGCCAGGTTAGATTACAGGCTAGCCAGCTTCATTTAACATTGGCTCCTCACCTGCATAGGTAGATAAATTAGACCCCACTGAACAGTTCTGACTGCTCCATTTATAAGCCTTCTTCACTATAGATACTTGCCTTTTTTATTTTTGAAAATCTTGTTATTGAATAATAATATACACACAATAAAGTGCACAAAACTTAAGTGTACAGATCAGTGAATTTTTACATAAGGTACGTACCCAAGCTACCGCCTAGAACAAGATGTAGGACATTTTCAGCACACCAAGCTTTCTCATGCCCCTGCCTCAGTCAACGCCATCTGCAAAGGTTACCACTGTGACGTCTATCACTTCTTTTGTAAAGGAAGTTTAAGTCTTTGGCACCCTCCTTTGAAAAAGAAAGAGCTCTCTGTGATCTTCTTATGGACATATAGAAAGTCTTTATGTAGTCTGGATACAAGTCCATAGTAGGATGTTTGTATATACATAGCAAATGTCTTGTTCCACACCATTACTTGTATTTCCATTTATTTAATGGTTTCTTTTAACAAATACAAGCTTTTATTTTTAATCAAGTCCAATTCAGTCAAGTGGCTGATTTTTCAATATAAGGAATTGAATTCTTCAATATTTTTCTTGAAGATAGTGTGTTTTCTGGCCTGCTTAAGACATGAGTGCCTACTCCAAGGTGATGAAGATATTTAGATTATCTTCTAGAAGCTTCACTGTTTCTCTTTCACATTGAAGTCTGTAATTCATCTGAAAGTGATTTTTGTGTATAGTGTGAGGCAGGGGGCAATGCTCACTTCTTCTCAAACATGTCCTCAATTGACCTAGGACATGGGTTACTGAAAAGACTATCTTTTCCCCACTGCACTGCAGAGGCACCTTTGTTGGAAATCAAATGACTCTCTACTCCTGGACTCTTCCTTTGTTCTATTTGTCTGTTTTCTACACTTGAGACAGTACCATACTGTTTTAATTGCTGTAGCTTTGTAACGAGTCTTCACATTTGGTAGTGTTAAGATAATGTTTTTTTCTTCTTCAAGATAGTCTTTGCTCTTTTTGTTCTTTTGTGCTTCCATACAAATTTTAAAATTAATTTGTCAATTTCCACAAAAATCTGGACTTTCGATTGGAATTGTATTTCATTCTCTCAGAGACCCAACTCCCTCCAGTCCTGCCAGCCTTGACATTTCTTCATACTGTCAAACAGCTGTATTTTTAAAGACAGCTTTTATGGTTGTTCTTGACAGGAGGGTAGTCTGTAGCCAGAAGCAGAAGCCCTCTACAAAGTTTCCTAACATAATTCTACAAAAAAAGAAGTGCCGTTATACGAAAAGTATCTGACAAACATTTACTCTGCAGACAGTTTATGTAAAGTTAAAATCTTACTTTATGAAACAGGATCCATTTGACTGCCACTGGGAGAAGACGTGACCCAAATTGAGCTAAACAAAAAAAATTTTATTGGCTCACCTAACTGAAAATTTCAGCAGGAAGATCATTGTATACAAGATTTCAAATGAAGTTCATCAGGATCCAGCTTTATTTCCATCTCTCTGCTCCACTTCATGTTGAATGTTCAAGCCACTCTTAAATAGACTCATGATCATAAAATGGCTGTCAGCAACTCCCAGAACTATACCCTTCCAGGTCTGCATCCAGCAGAAAATGAATGTCTTTGTTCCAAAACACCTGGGAAAATCTCATTGGCTCTAATTGGGTCGCTGCCTATTCCTAAACCAATCACTTTGCCTAGAGAAATTTGACAGAGTGATTAGCTTGAGCCCAGGTCAGGTTCTTGATTCCTGGTCCAGAAGTAGATTCAGCTCGCCAGAAACCCATAGATTGAGAATAGGATCCGTGGTAGTTCCCAAGCAGGAAGTTAGGATGTGGTTATCAGAAGAAAAGTAAATGAATGCTGGACAACTGAAAGCAAATGAATGCTGGATGCTGGAAACTGAAACAAATGTCCACTTCCCTGGCCAAATCCAGTCTCTACACCCATGTTGCCTAGAGTTACTTGGAAGATCATAGTCTTCCTGCTCTGGTCCTCCAAGGCCATTTCCATGATCCTGTTTCTGAGACTGCGACCCACTCTCTTCACGCTGTCACGTGCTTTGCCCGCCTCCTCTCCAAGACATGCACGCAGCTCTTCCAACCCTAGCATGTCACCACTTATGTGTCCTCTTCTTCCCGTTACTCTGAAGTCTTAGCAAGAGTTGGGGAAGGAGTAGCAGCAGGATGGGATGGATTTCATTCCCCCGTTGTCACCATTTTCCTTTTCTCTCACTATCTCCTCAACAGGACAAGAGCAGATGATCAGACTTAGCTTCCTAACTCTACCATTTCCTGCTGGGATTCTGAAAATGTCACTTCACCGCTCTGAGTCTCAATTTCTGCAACTGCAAATGGGCCCAATGTTGTCCCCTTTACCTCTTTCCAGGCAATATCTCTAAAAAGAGTTGCATAAAAGAGGGAGAGTTAGAGGGTGGCAGGTCTAGCGATTTCATCCTTTTGAATAGCTGTTGAGGTTCCTGGTGATGCTTCTGCTAGAGAAATCTTAACATGTGGAGTTTTTTTTCAAGCATTTCAATTACAGAAGGTTAAATGAAATGTTTTGAAAATGTTTATAGACTCTGAAGCACTTGAGAGATGCTGAATTGTATTATGGGCCCCAGACAGATCATTGGAAATCTCTTGTTCCACCCCAAGTGTTGTTTGTGTGTGACACTTGTCAAGGGTTTGCACTCTAGGGAACAAAGCACAAAAGTTTCACCGAAGTCCTCTAGCCCTAATCTTCTCAAGAGTTGTTGAAGCCTCTCTGAATTGATCCAGAAGTAGTCAAGTACTTTCTTAAAACAGGAGGCTCTTTCAAATTTTCTTACTGTTCCTAGTTCTGAGAAACCCCTCAAGTCTTCTTGGCTACCCATCACCATTGCCAATACACCACTCAGAGCCCAAGATTTTGCCCAAGGTCACAGTGCCAGCAAGTGGCTGGACAGGGATCTTTCTAGAATTCACCCTAACTCCACATGGCCAGGGGAAGCTAAGACTGCACAATCACAACGGATACAGGCTGCAGAGGCCTCTGAAGAATACAGATTTTGACTGTACCCGGCAGGAAGAAGAGCATAGTGTCTGAAGCAAGGGTTCTGTGTTCCAGGAGTGGCAGGTCTGGAAGTGGAATCAGCAAGATCAGCTCTTAGACTGGTGTAGGTGCACAAGCCAGGACTGAAGTCATAAGACCACGTGCCTTAATGACTTTTGTATATGCAGAGCCTAGCACATTGCCTGACCCACTGGATGTTCAGTGGGGCTGATAGTGGGGGCGGAAAGGAACAGATAGATTTAAGAGATGCTCTGGTTAGCAGGCGGATAAAACTTTTGAGTGGTTGAACATGAAGGATGAAGGCTAAAAAAGAATAAATTAAGGCTTTGGGTCTGGGCAACTGGTAGAGACAAGGACGTTGGCAGATTAGAAGGAGGTGGTTTGGGTGGGGTGATTAGGAGTTCAATGTCTGTCTTCAGTTTGAAGTGATGGTAGGTCAGCTGTGGAAACCATGTCAGATTTTACAAGGTAATGTGATTTCTTAATGAAGAATTTATATGAAATTCTAATAGGTTTTGACTATAAAATGTAAGGCAATAGAATGCTTCTTATAGATTTCCTTTAGACACAGAGCACAGATCACTTGACACCCCCTTCGCTTCTTCCTTACTAATTGAACCCTAATTTTGTCCAAGGCAGCAATGAGCCTGGCTCAGTCTTTCCATACTCCAGCGTCCTTTGCCAGACGATCACGGAACCAAATCTAGCCAATGAGACATAAATAGAAGCCATTGGGTAGGACTTAGTAGAATGCTCCTTAAAGGGGTAGGGGCGGGGCTCACTAACTGGCATGCACACTTTGCTCTTGGCTCTTCCCCTTTTTCCACTTGCAATGTGAACCTGATGGCTGGAGTTCTAGCAGCCATCTGAGGACCACGAGGGTGGAAATCACATGCTAAGGATGGCAGATGGAAGAAAAGCTGGAAGGAACCTGGGCCTCTCACGGTGTTGGGAAGCCACCACACCAAGTCCCAGATGCTGCCCCAAGACTTTTATTCAACATCAGAAATAAAGCCTCTCATTTATGTACGTCTCTGCTTTTCAGATCTCTGTCACTCACAGCCAAAGGCAATTCCTCATTGACTCACTGTGGTCTTAAAAATTGTGAAAGACCTTCAATTTCAGAATGAGTTTTAGAGTTTTGCAAAAGTAATAACAAGAACAAGCCATTAGTTCTTGATTCAAAATACTAAGCATCAGCCCTATAAGCATGTCTAGGCTTTAAAAATCTGAAAGGAAGCCTTTGGGAAGCCTGTGAGATTAGTCACTAACACAGCCCCTGGACCCCTTGTATCTCTTTTCTAAAAGGGTAAGAGAACGGTGTGTCTCAAATACTACACAATTCAAGATTATAAGCCCTACTCATGACTATCACTTTGAACTTAAAACCACTTATATGTTCTTTTAGTGCCAAAGAGTCTAATAAATTCCAAGAGCATCCAGGTTCTTGTTGTGGTCAAATTCTGTGAAAACAAACTCACTCTTAGCAATCCCATCCCAGGGAAATCACAGTTGTTGAGGGGAAGGAGGGAGTCACCAGGCCCCCACATCCACATCAGCCGCCCCTCTTAGCTCTTATCACTGAGTGGGAGGTTTTTATTTGATTGAAAGCGCATCTCAGAAAATGCCTTCTTCAACCCTGGCTCTGCCTCATGCCCACCTCTAGTCAGCCACTGACCATCTGAGCGGCCAGGCCTAACGCCATCCTCCAGGAGACAGTCTCTGCTTGGGCCAGCCCAGTTTGTAGATGGGCGTGTGTCCGCCCACCCGACAGCGCAGGGGTGGGGCAGGGCCTTTTGAAAGAAGTCTGTCTCAGGAGCACACCCCTGTGGTTTGGCCAGAGGCAGGAGCAATTCTTCAAGCAAGAGAGGATGGACTGGGGCTTGGGGGGGGGGAGTGCAGATGAAAGCCAACTGTGGGTTACGGGGAACAACCAGCACCGGTGTGTCTGCCACAGATATTTCCCTGCCGAAGTGCAAATACACCCTTCAGGAAGGCACCTCAGTTGGAGGCCTCTCTGGTTTCATTTCTGAAGCTTCAGGCTTCATTTCCACAAGGTTCTCAGCCTAAGAAGCCAGCTTCATTTTGCCAATTGTTTTTACTGATGCAGAGTTCATGACTCAGGCATCTAAGTAGTTCTGTTTGTAAGATAAATTCCTTTCCTCCCGATTGGCTCAGCTGATGAATTAGGTAACCCAAGAACTTCTAAAAAGAGAAAGGAAAGAGAAAAACCTCAACCCTTAAATCAACAGCTCCCTTCAAAAAAAGGATACCCCAATAAATCGAAGCTCACAAAGCTTCAGTTCACTTGACTTACCTAGAACAGACTCACACTCAAGGGTGAGCCTTTTCAGGAGTTGCCTCTGAATTTCTTCCCCACCTTGAAGTCTTTGGTACGTCAACGACCTCAGTTGTGAGATGGAAATAAAACACGCTTAGGAGTCTTGACAAAGCAACATCATTATCTCCAGTCATATTCAGAGGGATGGGCAGAGCATAGACTGACTCTAAGACTAGTGGAGAGTGAATATAGACAGATGCTTTTACCCCTTACATGGGAACAGTGGAAAGTGCAGATTGCTGAAGGAAAGCTTAGGCATCTTCCCTGTCTCCTCCCTCTAACAGTATGACCTTAGGTTTACAGAACATTTATAGTTTGCATCACACACATTCTCTCATTTCCTAGATTGCTGGTGTCAGTCAAGTGACCTCCCTTAGCTCCAATCCCACACAGTGCAGGACCCCCTGTGCAGGCCCCACCAGGAGGTCAGGCTACTGTGATCTGATGAGAAGAAGCAAACTGCCTCACAAGGCCTCCCGCCCCCATTTTTACAGCTAAACTCTGCATCCCTCTAGTTTCCATTCACTGGCCTACCTCTGGCTCTGCCCCTCTCCACATAGATGATGCACCTCCTCATCCTTCTGACCATTTAATTATGTGAAGAGCGCCATCATGTTACCATGATGACATATAACCCCTGATGTAGACCATGATTTCTCAACCACTTACCCTGCCTCCAGTTTGTCAGTGACCCTCTTAAATAACCTTCTTATGGAGCCCAGTGTTCATGTGGCCATGCAGGCAAGCCCAAGGCGACTTCTTCTACACCTCTGTCAGGAGAGCCCATGGTTGCGCTAACTTCTTTGTCAACCCCAGTCGCAGTGAGTCTCCAGCCAACAAAAACTCCCGAATCTTCTCCAGTCCAAACTTGTGCCTTTAGCTTTCCCAAAGCCTTCCTAAGAGTAAGAAAGATGCGGATCAATAACAAATGCTTCCCTGGTGCAATTATTGTTAAACCTGACTATAATTCTGTCCATTTACCTTAGAGGTTTCATCCCCATTTTCCAACCAGTCTCAAGATCTCCTAGAAACTTGATCTGTCCTTTGTCATTATTAGCTACACTCTCCAGCTTTGTAGCATTCACAAACTTGATGGGCCTGCTTTTTAGTTCTTTATTCCAGCCGTTGATACATTGTAATAAAAGCTAGCTGTACATACGGGGATGGGAGGCAGCAGATGTGATCAAATCTGTCTTATGTAGGGTTTGTTCAAGGTCACACAATAGACCTATGTACTGTGCAGCTAGCACTGGAACTCTGGTCTCCGGAAGCCCAGGGTGGAGATTTTCCCACCGTGCCATGGGGCTACCAGCAGGGATGCTTTCCCCGCATAGGCCCTGCTATACCTGAGTGGATGCACATTGTCTACTCATCAGGTAAGGTCTCCACACAGTTTGCAGAGCAAGAAACTCTGTTTATTACCTTGAGTTGGCTGACACAGAGGGCTCTAGCTACTAACAAAGTTGCTGTCCACTCACATTCACTTCTAGGCTTCAAGGGTCTCTGACCAAATCCAGTCAGACCCTTCCCCTCCATGCACCTCTCTATTCCTGCCTTGCTCACCACGATGTGATAGACACAGTCTGACCCAGGCATTAAGAGACTTGGGCCCTCATGCTCATTCCACCATGTTTAATTCTTCAACATTGTTCAACACAAGCCATTTAATTTCCCTGAGCCACAGTTTTCTCATCTAAAATAAGGGTCACACCACCCTACCTTACAGGATTAATTTGGACATCAAAGGAGAGAATGAATATAAAAATTTCTAGAAAACTATCCAGTGCTTTGCAAAGCATATTGTTATTATCAAATGGGTACAGAGAACTCCGAAGTGAGTCAGTACCACTTAAAATTCGTTTTTAAAGCAGTTCATTGTATCCTAACCCATTTATTCATTTCTTTCTCTTAAAGTCTCAACAAAAACTGAATATTAAGGATGCATGCAGGGAAAGCATGAATAAAAATTAACTATGCAATGTTCTTTAGTTACCTTGGCAGGGAAATGATACACCTATTAAAATATCCCAGTCAGAACTGGCACGTACTCTGCTGATAACCCCAGCAGGCAATGACCTTGGCACCATTACAAGGGCAATATTTTCAAATGGATGAACTATTCCTGAACAAAGTGTCCAGTGTACTAGGAATAAACAGGCTTTCCATCAGCCAAGCCTGTGTGTTTTCTGGTTCCAACACCCTTTCCCAAAGACGGTGTCGAAGAGGGGGATACCAGGAAGCAGCACCTCCTAGCAACCTGCCCAGTTCTGCTCATCCTTCCTTAAGAATCCTGTGACTGGATAGGCCTCCAGAGCTCCATCTTCTCTTCTAAAGCTTTCATGATTTCTTGACTGCGTTTTTTCAAAAGTAGAACCCAATGCTGCCCATTGCTCTCCTGGTCAGACATCAGGCTGTTCCTGGTAGGAGAGCAGGTGAAGGAATTATCCCTCCCCAGAGTGTAAAACAGAGCTCTGGAGCCTCATGAACAAGAGTCTGTGCTGGAGACTCACGTACGACATCACGTGTCTGCGAGGCCAACTCTACGAGAAGGTCGATGAATCTCCCAGGACAGTCCAAAGTAGGGCACACAAGAGACTTCGAAGACAAGATCGTTGAGATAAAATTCACTGAGAGAGCAAGAAAGAACTCCACACTCACCAGAACTGAAGCGCACATGCAAAACTTAACTGGTGACACTTGCTTCTTCACCGGGGCCAGTGAGACTGCAGCTGGCCCATTTAGCTATTCATTTTCTCATTCATTCTGCATGTGTTTATTGAGCACCTACCTAACATGTGCCTAACAGCCTTTGTTCTGGGGACACAGAATAAACAAGACAAAGTCCCTGCCCTCTTTACATTCTGGTGGGGGCAGGCAAACAATAAACCAATAAATAAGTAAATAGATAGCATGCCAGGCAGTGCTAGTGCTAAGAGGCACAAGGAGTGTAGGTGTGGGTGGGCATGAATTTCTATCAGGGAAGTCCGCACTGTTAAGGTAAATTTGACAAGCCGTCAGAAGCGAGAGAGAGAGAGAGCTACACCTATCTGGACAAGCATATTCCGGGCAAGAGCATGGCTGAAACATCAAAGAAGATAGTGTTACAGGAATGCAGAGAGCCAAGGAGCGAGTCGGAAGAGATGAAGTCAGAGAGGTAATGTGGAGCCAGCTCATGTAGGGCCTGAGAGCCGCTTCAAGGACTTTGGTTTCAATTCTGAGTGATCTGAGAAAATATTGTGTGTCAGGGGTAGGGGGAGGTTGGAACAGAAAAGTGAGATAATCTGATTTATGTGTATAAAGATCTTCCTGGTTGTTCTACTGAGAACAGCACGTAAGCAGGAAAGGATGTGAGCAGGGAGAATATTAGGAGGATAGAGCAACAGCCGAAGCAGGAGATGATTGTGGTGGCTTGGACTGTGACAGGAGCAGTGTAAGGGTGAGATGAGGATCCGGATGTTTTTAAGGTGTGACCTAGAGGAATTGATAATAATGAGATGTGGGAAATGAGAGACTGAGTCAAGGATTAGTCCATGGTTTTTGGCTTAAGCAATGGAAAGGATGGAGTTAACATTTCATTGAGAAGGGGAAGATTATGGGTGAAGCAGGATTAGGGGTATCAGGACTGTGGTTTGGAATATGTTAAGTTTGAGGTGTCTATTAGACCCTGAGCAGAGATGTCTAGTAGGCAATTGGATAGCAAGTCTTGGGTCCAGGCTAGAGATGTGAACTTGGGAATCATCATTGCAGAGAAGGTATTTAAAGCCCAGAGCAAGATGATGTTAACAAAGGAGTGAGTGCTAACAGAGAAGAGATGCAAGGGCTGAGCCCTGGGGTGAGCAACAAAGGAGAATTAGCAAAGGATGTTAAAATGACTTAAGAATTTTAAAAGAGAGAGAGAGAGAAACCTAGCAAATACGTGAAGAAAATTGCTCAGGAAGGAACCACTGGTCAACTTCGCCAAATGCTGCTATTTGGTCACGTGTGATAATAACTGAGAAGTGACAATTGGATTCAGAGATTTGGAGGTCAGTGGTAATTTTATTAAGGTAGGCTTACTTCTGTGATAAACAATCCTCAAATCAGTGACCCCGCACTCATGACGCAGTCCAATGAAGTGCTTGGTGGATGGCCTTCCATGGGGTGATTTGGGTACCAGGCCTCTTTCCATCTTCAGTGTGTGGCCTCCATGGTCCCCTTGGAAAGGGATGGGACTGTCCATGTCAAAGTACATCACACGCAAATGCTTTAGCCTGAGGGTGGCACGTTAACCCCACTCATGTTCCTATGACAAGAATTAGTCACGTGGCCTCGTTTAGATGTGAAGAAATTGGGAAGCGTCATTGAGTTGTGTGCCCAGGAAGAGGAAACAGTTTGGAGACCATCTGGCTGACGTCTACCATAATGGTCTTGGCAAGGTCAGTTTTGGGGAATGGTGGGAGCAAAAGACTGATTGGCGGGAGTTCAAGAGAGAAAGGGAAGTACAGAAATGTGGTGGTAGCTAAAGTGGGGTTTGGGATCAAGAGAGGTCTTTTGTTTTGTCTCTTGCTTGTTTGTATGATAAAGGAAAGTGATCCAGAAGAGAGGAAAACGTGTGATGATGCAAAAGAGACAGGGGACAACCCCTGGAGGGATACCTTGGGGAGGTGAGAGAGAAAGAGATCTAGCTCAGTGTTTCTTAAATGTCATTGTGCAAGAATCACTTCGAGAGCCAGTTGAAACAGAGATCCCCAGGCCCCACCCCAGAGATTCTGATTCGGTAGGTCTGGCGTGGGGCTGGTGTGTTTGCATTTCTGACAGTCTCCAAGGCATTGCTGATGCTACCAGTCAGGATCGAGGACCATACTTTGAGCATCACTGATAGAAGCTTGGGAAATTCATCCCTGTTCTGGGATGGAAGGCAGAACAGATAGGCACAGGTGAGGGTGGGAGGGTGGGTGTAGTGGTGGAAATGTGGAATTTGTCAGCTGATTTTTCTGTTATCTCAGTGAATTAGGAAACAAGGTCATCAGCTGAGAGTGAGGATGGGGAGGAAGGTTGAGGGTTTGAGGAGGGAGGAGAAAATTTGAAATCATTGTCTCGGAGAGTGGGAGAAGAAGAGGTGTCAAAAAATGAACTAAGAATGCCAGGCAAGCACTGAGGACCCCCCTGCAACTGTGAGAATGAAATTAAAGACCAGGCAGCTGCACCTGGCCGTGCAGTTGGAGACACAGTGGGCAGAGGTAGATTCAGCCAGGGTCATGGTTTTGCCAGGAAGGTACAATGAAAGGAGAGAGGGGTCAAAGGGATTTGATTGTGTATTAATGGGTGAGGTGATAATGAGGGACCACAGAGTCTAAGTGGGTAAGGAGGGCAGTGGGGACTTGTGGGCGGCAGTGGGGCAGTGAGGAACAATGAAAAGGTGGTAGGTCAATCCATTGTGGATCTCAGTGAGGTTGAAGAATCACTCGAGAGAGCAGAACACTCAGCTGGAAACAGGAATTGTGATAAGAGAGTAGGACGTTTGAAATTGAGATTGTGGAGAGAGCAAACTGTTGGTGATGGCAAGGTCAAGGGCATGGCCATAGGCTCAGTGGCCAAGATACCATAAAGGACAAGATTGCTAGGGTGAGAGGAAGTTGAGGAATGGGGAGGCTGAGTATTGGAAGGATCACGTTCGTGCATATTGAAATTACCAGGGATTATTATCAAGAGTGTTGTTGGAAAGACTACTGAGAGCTATTGCTTTCAAACCCTCCTTACAGAATCCGGTGCTCTAAGGAGGGGAGGAAGTTCTCAAATACAAACTCTGGACCCCCAAGCAAAAGTTTCCCCATGAGCCTCCTTCTAGTGCTAATTGCAAAATAAACAGATAAACCAGCAGGGGCTGCCTGGGGAAAGGCTGAGCCAGCAAAGTAGCATCACTCAGAAGAGCCCAACTTTCCCCAGCACTTTCCCTGCTTCATTTGAAGAATTAAGAGTGATGGAGACCTGCTGAGAACCTGAGGTGATTCATCACAGCCCGTGGATGCTCGTGTCTCTCTACACATTTGACATGGAAGAGTAGGCTGCTGGTTTATGACGTCTTAGATTTCAAATTTAACTACTGTGCATGTTCTAGTGCAGAAAAGACTAAATATATACTTCCAATTAGAAAATCTAAAAGGAATACCAAAGCAGCATCAATGGTGAGTGTTGGAGGAGCCGTGAACTGGAGTGGCAGACACTTGGTTACGAGGGTGGTACCCCCGCCTGAGGACCCCACTCTCTGACTGGGGTGTGCCAAGAGAGAAAACAGCTGCTCCGATACATTATTGAGAATGAACACCCTCCTTCCTTCATTTGCCTGAGCAGAGCTGCAGTTCTGAGTCTTTCCTCCACGGGAACCACACTGAATTCTACCCAGGACCGTGGACGTGTTCCTCTTTCCCCCATGGTCAGACCCATCCCTGAGGCAGGAAGGGGCCCAGACCCCCTGCTATCCTCTCCATTTACCCTCCAGA